GGTCCCCCTTTTTTTTCTCTCTGTGGTCTTAAGATGTAACCTTTATTCTTGGTAGTAGGCTGTGTTACAGCTGCTACTCATGTTTCCACCTCTGTGTGCTACTTCTTAAATAAGTGTTTGAAATTCTGAAATGATTCAAAGGTTATTCAGCCTCCTACAGACATCAAACCCACCTTCCCAGGAGCTTCATGGCATGCCGGCGATGTACTTAACTCAACCTTGTTGTTCAAATAAAACGTTTTTTTACATTTTAAATCCAAACTTGCTCTAAAGATATATCTTAGATCATACATAAGAGGGATTCTAATGTCATTAGAATCCCTAATGACTTGATAATCATTATTACTTAGTACAGAACCTAAATATCATCTTCTTTGACCTTTAAATGTTTTTGGCATGGAGATCTGTGGTTATCTTGCTCCACTTAATTGTTAAAAACAACTCTGTCATGATCTTTAATGTAACTAAAACCACTTTATTGCTGAATATTAGCTGTTAGAGTAGATTAGTTTACTGTTTCATAGCAGAAACTGAGACACAAAATAAAACTGTTGAAAAGATTTGTTGAGGTTCAACACTGCTGGCTAGATGCTGCCTTGAAGGACATGGTTTTGATTGTAGGAAAACTACCAATAAAAAGCACACAAGTGGTTCCAGTTAAGAGCTGTTCGCTTGGATGTGGCTTAACCCCAATGAAAGGACATGATTTAATTACTCTGCAGCTTTAATGCGCCTGATGTTTCTTTAGAAAGCACAGTATATAATCTTTTTTTGAACCAACTGTGATTCATCTTTGATGAAAAAAAAAATGTTAAAGAAGTAACGTTTCCCCACCGATGATTGAGCAATGGAAAGGGACTCATTGAAATGATCGTCTCATATTGAATGAGTTCTTTACACTGACAGTGGAGTTGGTGTTTTTGTGTTTTGCACTGGGTATCATTTATTTGCGTTGTTAATCATTTTTTTAATAAATGTTTGGGTTCAGGCAAGAGCACAAGATTTTATCCTGTTTCCCCTCATATTTCCTATCACCACTGTGGGGACCCCAATCTTTTTGTGCTTGTCTGCCTGGGACTACCAGAGATTCCTTGTTTTATTTGAACAACTTTTAAAGGCTCAAGGCCATAAAATGATCCAGTAATTCACAAGAAGAGAGGTTTCGAGATGACGAAAGTCTGAAAATATACAATTTTATATGGCAGAAATGTTTGTGATCCCTCATCTTTATCTTACGAGCCATCGTGGGGGTTCAGACCCCCCATTTGGGAACCCCTGGTGGTTTGAGTTGACATTATATTCTTGTAGCATTTTGAGCATATTATGAAACATATTTCTAACCCGCACAAATACAGAATTTTGTTTAGTCTTTTTGTCAATTGTGAATTTTAGCATTACTGCACAGGCTGGATTTCCATTAGCTTCAGATAAACAAAAACCTAAATATCTTTGCCTTAACTAGACTTCCTTTATCACAACATCCACGGTCTTTGTTTTGTTCAGATATAGCACTCATATCTGTGTCTGTATGTGAAATGTGCTGGGGTCACAGCAGCTATGCACCCTTTTGTTTTCTGTGTGGGCTGCTTATCTCTTCTATCTGCTGCATGTATCCTTATTTGGCCTTTCCTGCCGACAGATGATGTCTCATGTCACGACAGTCATTAGAGTGTGAGATAAAAGATGATGAGAAAGGATGCTCTGTGTGTGAGTGAGTCAAAAAACTCTGGACTGATAAGGCAGGGTGGTGTGAACTTAAAATATCACTCTGATCTGACAAGAATAATCAAACCCCTCATAGCAAAACATACAATGTGTGTATTGGTGTGTGAAAAAGAGACAGATGTAAAGAGAGAGACAGTGTTTGTAGGTCAGAGCACCTCAAAGTATTTCAAGAGAGAAAGCATGTGCAAAGAGAGAGCGTGTTCATTTCTGGGTTGGTGTTTGTGTATATGTGAGAGACAAGACAGGCTGACTGTAGCCTTCAGCCTTAGGTGAACCTGTGAACCCACGTGACGAATGTGTGTAACTATCAGCACAGATATTCATGGGAAACTGTGTTAAGATCAGAGCGCGGCGAGCTCACGAGGCAGCATGGCCCGCGCAGGAGAGGTGCTGTCTCTCTGGAAAAACAGCTGTCTATATTTAATCAAGGCGAATAAACAAGGAGTTTAAACAACTCATTTATAATTTAGATTTGCATACATTAAAAACGCTCATTTTAATCTTTTTATTAATATGCATCGACGATATTGTATAAATATGCAGTTTTATGCAAATACCAGGCCCATTTTCTGTTTGTATTTAATTCTGTTTCCCAGCTGTGGATCATCATTTTCATTCAAGGCAACCGACTCAGATTAAGTCACGTATTAAGTCACAGCATGGGAGTGTATAAATATTTCTCAATTAAAAACTCTGAAGACCAGCTATGCTACTGTATCAGCATTAAAAATGCATTGGCATTGGGAGGAAAATAGGGGAAGGCAAGTTACGAGTTTGATAAGAAATCACAACTTCAAGTCTACATCTTTGAACTATGTTTTTTTTTCTTCTTCTTTCCCTCCTCCAATCAAGTAGTTGCAATAGCTAACACTTTTTGCTGTTTTGGAGACTGTTACAAAATCTGGGGGATGTAAGGACCAGCCAAAAACATGCTGTGTATCTGTTATTGATGAGCATGCCATGCCTTCTGATGTTTTTTCACAGAATGTCCTACATTTTACTGTTTCTTGCCTGTGCTGCCACTTTTCTGTCCATGCAAATGAGGAGTTTTGTTCCAAAATGTGAAAACTACCAACTGAACAGCGTGACGAGGACTGCTGGGATAGGAGAAAAACTCACAACCCATAATTACCAAAGTTATTAACTAACTTGATGATTATGATACCACCAAAGAACAGTGACACATGATACATAGTTTTTTGCATTTTGAACAATAAAAATATGATTACATTTTTCCTTAACAGAGCTGTATGGTAGTTATGAATCCCTTGAAGTATGTTTGCTAATGAGAAACGGTCGACCTTTAAGCACTGCTTATGAGAAGACACATGTGTAAATGTGAACCAATCACAAGAAAAGAGGGCAGGGTTTCACACGCAAGTGGCAGCTGATAGGATCCACTAACATCACCACAGCTAAAACAGGCAGCCCTCAAAACACACACAAAGTGAAAGCGTTTTTTTTGTTGTTGTCTGTTTTGTGTTAATATACATCAGTTTTATAAGCTACCAAAAATGCTGCATGTTGTCAACAACTGAAAACATTTGCTATAAGTACAGGAAGCAAATGCACATTACATAGATTTGCAGTTTAGCAGCCCACATGTTTTATTAGCAGGCAGAAGTCACACTATCTTGCATGATCTTAATATTAGTGTTTATATTAATATTAATATATTTAATGTATGTAAGCTGATAATATTTCACAGAAAAAGTATGATTACAAAATAGAAGTAATGCCGGATGTAAAGGTAAAAAAATATTATTTTTTAATCTATTAAATGTTTATTTTTAGGAACACGTACATGTGGACCAATGCTGCAATACCAGTACCCTCCAGATGAACCTTGCAAACTGAGGATGCATTTGATGGGAGTGTAGCTGATTAAAAGAAGAATCAATTATTAGTAAATTTCATGATTCCACAATTAATAATCATGCATCTTTAACTGGTGCTGTGGGTTAATACTTTGAATAAATAAAAAATCCTGGTGAATGTGAACGAGGAAACAAACAAAAATGAACTGGCTCCACACTATAGAAGAAAATCCTCTTCCAGATATTTGAATGTAAAAAATAGTTTTAGCTCCTCAAAGTGGATCATTGTCATTTATAGATAATTATATTTTTACACCAGTTGGTGGCAAAAATCTAAACAAAAGTAAAGATACTGTAAAAAAAAAAAAAAAAACTCTTCAGGGTTAGTTTAGGGTTATGGCTGAGTTTTAAAGTAGTGAGGTAACAATTATTATTTCAATACTGTAAATAATAAATAAAATCAGAGTAAAACAGATTTAAATTTAAAACAAAAAGATCTCTGGATGCAGCAACTTTGAG